ATCTGAAGGTTGTGGGTTCAATTCCAGGGTGGGAATTTTAGATTTTAAACTTTTATTACTTTTTGGGTGAATTAAAACATTATAGTTAATTTCGTAACACTTAAAAATTGTGAAATTACACTTAGTCCAATGGTATGGACTACTGACTCTAAATCTGAAGGTTGTCGGTTCAAATCCAGGGTGGAAATTTTAGATTTTAAAATTTATGTCTTTTGGGTAAATTTAAATTTAATAGTTAATTTCGTACCCACAAAAAAGTGTGAAATTATGCTTAGTCCAATGGTATGGACTGCTGACTCTAAATCTGAAGGTTGCGGGTTCAAATCCAGGTTGGAAATTTAGATTTTATTTATTTTTGGGTAAATTGAAACTTCATAGTTAATTTCGTAACATTTAAAAATTGTGAAATTACACTGAGTCCAATGTATGGACTACTCACTCGAAATCTGAAGGTTGTGGGTTCAATTCCAGGGTGGGAATTTTAGATATTAAAATTTTATTACTTTTTGGGGTAAATTAAAACATTATAGTTAATTTCGTAACATTTAAAAATTGTGAAATTACACTTAGTCCAATGGTGTGGACTACTGACTCGAAATCTGAAGGTTGTGGGTTCAAATCCAGGGTGGAAATTTTAGATTTTAAAATTTTATGTCTTTTTGGGTAAATGAAACTTCATAGTTAATTTCGTAACCTTAAAAATTGTGAAATTACACTTAGTCCAATGGTATGGACTACTGACTCTAAATCTGAAGGTTGTGGGTTCAAATCCAGGTTGGAAATTTAGATTTTAGATTTATTATTTGGGTAAATTGAAACTTCATAGTTAATATCGTAACCTTTAAAAATTGTGAAATTACACTTAGTCCAATGGTATGGACTACTGACTCTAAATCTGAAGGTTGTGGGTTCAAATCCAGGGTGGAAATTTTAGATTTAAAATTTTATGTCTTTTTGGGTAAATTTAAATTTTATAGTTAATTTCGTAACCCTTAAAAATTGCGAAATTACACTTAGTCCAATGGTATGGACTACTGACTCTAAATCTGAAGGTTGCGGGTTCAAATTCAGGTTGGAAATTTTAGATTTTATTTATTTTTGGGTAAATTGAAACTTCATAGTTAATTTCGTAACATTTAAAAATTGTGAACTTACACTTAGTCCAATGGTATGAACTACTGACTCGAAATCTGAAGGTTGCGGGTTCAAATTCAGGTTGGAATTTTAGATTTATTTATTTTTTGGTAAATTGAAACTTCATAGTTGATTTCGTAACATTTAAAAATTGTGAACTTACACTTAGTCCAATGGTATGGACTACTGACTCGAAATCTGAAGGTTGTGGGTTCAAATCCAGGGTGGAAATTTTAGATTTTAAAATTTTATGTCTTTTTGGGTAAATTGAAACTTCATAGTTAATTTCGTAACCTTTAAAAATTGTGAAATTACACTTAGTCCAATGGTATGGACTACTGACTCTAAATCTGAAGGTTGTGGGTTCAAATCCAGGTTGGAAATTTTAGATTTTAGATTTTATTTATTTTGGGTAAATTGAAACTTCATAGTTAATATCGTAACCTTTAAAAATTGTGAAATTACACTTAGTCCAATGGTATGGACTACTGACTCTAAATCTGAAGGTTGTGGGTTCAAATCCAGGGTGGAAATTTTAGATTTTAAATTTTATGTCTTTTTGGGTAAAATTAAATTTTATAGTTAATTTCGTAAAGACAAAAAAGTGTGAAATTATGCTTAGTCCAATGGTATGGACTGCTGACTCTAAATCTGAAGGTTGCGGGTTCAAATTCAGGTTGGAAATTTTAGATTTTATTTATTTTGGGTAAATTGAAACTTCATAGTTAATTTCGTAACATTTAAAAAATTGTGAACTTACACTTAGTCCAATGGTATGGACTACTGACTCGAAATCTGAAGGTTGTGGGTTCAATTCCAGGGTGGGAATTTTAGATTTTAAAATTTTATTACTTTTTGGGGTAAATTAAAACATTATAGTTAATTTCGTAACCCTTAAAAATTGTGAAATTACACTTAGTCCAATCGTATGGACTACTGACTCTAAATCTGAAGGTTGTCGGTTCAAATCCAGGGTGGAAATTTTAGATTTTAAAATTTTATGTCTTTTTGGGTAAATTTAAATTTAATAGTTAATTTCGTACCCACAAAAAAGTGTGAAATTATGCTTAGTCCAATGGTATGGACTGCTGACTCTAAATCTGAAGGTTGCGGGTTCAAATCCAGGTTGGAAATTTTAGATTTTATTTATTTTGGGGTAAATTGAAACTTCATAGTTAATTTCGTAACATTTAAAAATTGTGAAATTACACTTAGTCCAATGGTATGGACTACTGACTTGAAATCTGAAGGTTGTGGGTTCAATTCCAGGGTGGGAATTTTACATTTTAAATTTTATTACTTTTTTGGGTAAATTAAAACATTATAGTTAATTTTGTAACCTTTAAAAAGTGTGAAATTAGGCTTAGTCCAATGGTATGGACTACCGACTCGAAATCTGAAGGTTGCGGGTTCAATTCCAGGGGGGGAATTTTAGATTTAAAAATTTAGTTCTTTTTGGGTAAATTTAAACTTGATAGTTAATTTCGTAACCACTAAAAAGTGTGAAATTATGCTTAGTCCAATGGTACGGACGGCTGACTTGAAATCTGAAGGTTGTGGGTTCAAATCCAGGGGTGGAGTTTTGGTTTTGAAATTTTATGTCTTTTGGGGTAAATTTAACTTCATAGTTAATTTCGTACCCACAAAAAAGTGTGGAATTATGCTTAGTCCAATGGTATGGACTGCTGACTCGAAATCTGAAGGTTGCGGGTTCAATTCCAGGGGGGGAATTTTAGATTTTAAAATTTAGTTCTTTTTGGGTAAATTTAAACTTGATAGTTAATTTTGTAACCACTAAAAAGTGTGAAATTATGCTAAGTCCAATGGTACGGACGGCTGACTTGAAATCTGAAGGTTGTGGGTTCAAATCCAGGGGTGGAGTTTTGGTTTTGAAATTTTATGTCTTTTGGGGTAAATTTAACTTCATAGTTAATTTCGTAACCACTAAAAAGTGTGAAATTATGCTTAGTCCAATGGTATGGACTGCTGACTTGAAATCTGAAGGTTGTGGGTTCAATTCCAGGGTGGGAATTTTAGATTTTAAAATTTTATTACTTTTTTGGGTAAATTAAATCATTATAGTTAATATCGTAACCTTTAAAAATTGTGAAATTACACTTAGTCCAATGGTATGGACTACTGACTCTAAATCTGAAGGTTGTGGTTCAAATCCAGGGTGGAAATTTTAGATTTTAAAATTGTATTTTTGGGTAAATTTAAACTTCATAGTTAATTTCGTAACCACTAAAAGTGTGAAATTATGCTTAGTCCAATGGTATGGACTACTGACTCTAAATCTGAAGGTTGTGGGTTCAAATCCAGGGTGGAAATTTTAGATTTTAAAATTGTATGTCTTTTAGGGTAAATTTAAATTTTATAGTTAATTTCATAATCACTAAAAAGTGTGAAATTATGCTTAGTCCAATGGTATGGACTGCCGACTCTAAATCTGAAGGTTGTGGGTTCAAATCCAGGTTGGAAATTTTAGATTTTAGATTTTATTTATTTTTGGGTAAATTGAAACTTCATAGTTAATATCGTAACATTTAAAAATCGTGAAATTACACTAAGTCCAATGGTATGGACTACTGACTCGAAATCTGAAGGTTGTGGGTTCAATTCCAGGGTGGGAATTTTAGATTTTAAAACTTTATGTCTTTTTGGGTAAATTAAAACATTATAGTTAATTTCGTAACCTTTAAAAAGTGTGAAATTAGGTTAGTCCAATGGTATGGACTACCGACTCAAAATCTGAAGGTTGCGGGTTCAATTCCAGGGGGGGAATTTTAGATTTTAAAATTAGTTCTTTTTGGGTAAATTTAAACTTGATAGTTAATTTTGTAACCACTAAAAAGTGTGAAATTATGCTTAGTCCAATGGTACGGACGGCTGACTTGAAATCTGAAGGTTGTGGGTTCAAATCCAGGGGTGGAGTTTTGGTTTTTGAAATTTTATGTCTTTTGGGGTAAATTTAACTTCATAGTTAATTTCGTAACCACTAAAAAGTGTGAAATTATGCTTAGTCCAATGGTATGGACTGCTGACTTGAAATCTGAAGGTTGTGGGTTCAAATCCAGGGTGGGAATTTTAGATTTTAAAGTTTTATTTCTTTTGGGTAAATTGAAACTTGATAGTTAATTCCGTAACCACTAAAAAGCATGAAATTATGCTTAGTGCAGTGGTTCAGACTGCTGACTCTAAATCTGAAGGTTGCAGGTTCATTCCCACGCTGGGAATTTTAGATTTCAAAATTTTACTACTTTTAGGTCAATTGAAACTTTACAGTAATTTTGTAACCACAAAATAGTGTGAAGTTTTGCTTAATCAAGTAATACGGACTGATGACCCTAAATCTGAACTTCTGAAGGTTGCTGGTTCAAGTCCCACAGTTGGAGTTTTAGATTTTAAAATTTTATTAATTTTGAGGTCAATTGAAATTTATATTTTTTTCAAGTTTGAAACCAGTCCACACTTCTAGTCTAGCAAAAGCCAAAAGTAAAAAAGCAAATACTTTTAGCTTGAAGCAAATAGTGAAAGCATTTGCTCTCATTTTTATTCATGCAAATAAAAGTTATGCTTAAAATATGTAGTAAAAAAAAAGCAAATGCTAGTTTTTATACATACGACCAATGTTTCAATGTTAATCATAATTGCATCGTTTATGTTTCAGTAACAGATTTGAGGACCTACATGGATCTGTTTGGGTTACAACGACGCCCATTCACTGAGCGGATTCGGGATTGCCCATCGAGAACTCGAAAAGATAGGAGAGACCAAGGCCAGTTGCTTTGGTAAAATTTTTCATTCAGGTAAGACAAACTTCCATGAAGACTCAACTCATTAGTTCAAGTCCCCCCCCCTCAGACGTTATCGTCATGACGACTGTCTGCTCCATGTTCCCAAGGGTGCCCTCCGAGGACGACATCATGGCCATGTGTGAGATGTCCTGTGATTGGTCAGCCAGGTCTGGTACCAAGACTGTAGATTCAGCTGCAGATTCCTCGGGGGCTGATTTGGATAATGCACAGGCCTGAGCGTACAGCCGTAGCTGTGCTAGATGGTGGTGCAGCAGCTGGGTGTGCTCCTCAGACATGTGTTGCAGTAACTCTTGCAAAATGGACTGGTTCTCGCTGTCGTTGGTTAGATGTTTCAAACTGGACGTGTGAATCATGGACAGCTGCTGCTTGAGTGACATGTTTGTGTTGGACAAATACTCAACCTGGAGGGCAAGACGGATGGGCAGAGAAATTATTTGTTTACAGATGGAATTTTAATAGACCAATCCATTAGGCTCTGCCCCATGATGTGTAACCAATCACAACCATGACAGCGCACACCAAAGTCTGACATTTATGCACTTCATGATGTGTGCAGTTGGAGCATGAATGCTTAAGAAGGCACATGTGTTGTTACCCAGTTATTTAGTGCAACTAGAGTTTGAGTGAAACCACGAATCCTCTACACAAGGATAAACGACACATCTGAGCTTGTGTACAAAATGTGTGCAACGGTTTGTCTGCATTTATCATAAGCAGCGTCGGCGCATAAAACAACGTAGAACGTGTAGAAAATGTAGAGCAATGACAACAACAGTGCACACTATGATCGCCCACAGCCATGACAGCTGGCATCCTGACAGAAATCTGACCACTGAAAGAACGCAGTAGCATTAGTGTGCCTGCATTAGTTTTGATCAAGGTATGTCCCCCCTCCCACTTTTGAGAAGCGATTGACGCCCTTGGTACCTGTTGCATGCAGGGAACAAGATCCAAACTCATTCTTAGACCAAGACCAGATGGAATGCCCACTCACCTTTGTACGAAGCCTTTCTATAGTACCTTTCATTCTGTGCTCTGTCTGGGCCCACGTGGTCCGCTCCTCCTCAAGAGTCTTCTCCAGACTTTCCTTCTCCTGCAGCAGCAGCGACAAGTTGTGCTCTGTGTAGCAAGTCTCGTCCTCCAAATCCTCTTTGCTTCCTTCATCTGGTATTTCAATAAGGACAACTGTTTACGAGAGGGAAAGGTTGAGTAATTATCCTGAATAATGATTCCTGTAATAATGAAAGTCGGTCATCAAAAGGTCACTCCAGGTGTGGGCTACACAAAGAGGGGAAATGATGGGAGGAGTTTATGGAGTAGAAAGGTCGACATATATGTTGCGCTTGAATGGGACAGATGATATGTAGCGGTAAAAACAGGATACAGGCAAGAAAGTCCAAAGTGATGCAGTGTGTCAAGAACATGTAATTCCTTGTAACTGGGTGCAAGCAATCACTCACTTTTTCAAACCGTATTCCTAACATTAGGTGGGCAAGGTGAAGGACAAATGCCAATATTTAATTAATTGTTGAAGTCAGCTCTCAAAATGTACTGCCACCCTGACTTATTAGATTTTTTTTGTTGCTTAGAACCTTCCTGAATCCTCCAAAATTCAATCAACTTAAATAACGCCAATGGCACACCCTTTGCACCTTGTAATTTCAATTTGTAAAATCCACTGTCAATATTGGCCCTCATCCACCCCAACCCCCTAAAAAAATGCTGAACTTTTGGTTGTTGTTTTATTTATTTTATTGACCAAACAAGTGCAGGAGTGAAGACAACTGTATCAAACATGCTGTTGTCTACCCATTCCCTTCTTCCATATGGATTCACGATATATCAATTGAAAACAAAGTGGGGGGGGGGGGGTGGGGGGGGGAAGAGTTCTTCCTTGCATCAAATGCCTCCCCCTTGGCTTTTTGGTCAGCTTCTTCTAATTATCCTTCACTGCTGGTGGCATTATCCACCTTAACCTCTGCGTAGATGCTGAAGGATTCTTGGAGGGTCAGGGTTAATATTCTTACCTTCCCCATTGGCAGTGCTCTGACTCGGATCATTTATGCAGGCATACTGGTACTCGATCTGCGGCTGCTGCCCATCAGTCTGCTCATAGCCCCGGGGATGATGTGTCTGTCTCCGATGGCTGCTGTGACTGGGGGACTATGAGGTGTGTTACCAGGCTGGTACTGTTGGGTGCTGGGTCAGTGTATGTGGTGAAGATCTGGTTGACATCCTGGGTACAAATGGTGGAGTGCAGTCGTTAAGGTTGATAAAATGAGACTTAAACCTGTAAGGTAGCAAAAGATTCAATTTACACAAACATACAGTGATAAAATTAGGTTCACAATTAATTATTTTAAAAGGCACGAAGTGTTGGCATTTGACATAATCCACCCAAATCCTTGTAGAACTACCACACCTGCTCACAAGGTACATAAATTTCAACTGATTAAATTTATTCCATGGTTTTTTTTTCATGCAGATTGTACAAGGGGACCATTACATCACAGCAACGGCATACTCAGTTGTCTTGAAGCAGCACTGAAACTGTGAAGGTTAAAAATAAGTGCGCTTTCAAACACTTAAACCAAAAAGGTGTGTCTAATCATTCTCAAAAGAATGGATACTTGAGTCAAAACTTTTCGGTAAAAAAAACCCCAGATTTTGTTCAACAAGTTCACTTCATGCTTTTTTGAAACACCACTCTACAGGGAGTTTATCGAACACTGATATCTGCTAAGAATAACCAGCCCAGGTATCTGTCAATTTCATAAAACTCCCACAAATGCCACTACCTTGTCCTGCTGTCCACTACCTTCAACTTATCTTTATAATTAACCCTAACCCTGCCACATGCAGCACAGTGCGCATCAGTTGGAAAAGTCTGGTGCACTTGGTCTTGTTCCCAAACTCACCCCCAAAGTTGATGCCTTTATCCACGTACTTGACCCTGTACGTAGTGCGCCTTGAGGAGAATCTCCTCAGTGAAGAGACTGTCCTGGGAGCAGAATGGACAGTGCAGATGCGGAGCCTTCATCAAGGAGTGGCTACACTCCCTGTCTGTGCATTGTATGGGCGTCCAGTCTGCCTCAGCGCCTTTCATCCGCACTGATAGGTGGCAACATTCCGTCACCTCTGATGCTGAACCAACACGAGGTAGTGATGTAGAAAAACATTGGCCATTTTTTGCGCACTTAGTACTTGGACCAATTTTGTTCTTGCATAAACTAAATCCTACACAATTGTGGACTTTAACATTGAAAGAATGACTAATATTAACTACATAGAAAAATAATTTGAACAATATCGAACGTCAAGGAAGCACCAAGAACGTCATCGTCTGCAGATGAGTCAAATTGGCTGCCACGAAAGTCTCCATTGTGTCCTACTTCCTAAACCAATGTGGATTTGTCATCCGACATTGTTATTAAATGCGCGTTTGTTTATATATGAAATAAATGAATTTCTTTCCATTTTGGTAAAAACAACTGCATGCATAATATTTAAAATCATATCATAATTGAAAATAGGAGGTAAATAAAATAAATCCACAAATATTATAATATACTTTTGTCGAAAGTCTAAGAAGCTTAGTTAAATCCTATGCATGGAAAGAGTTCCGAGAATGTTTTGCTGAAAATCATCCGTGTGCCAATTACGTAACATTTTACAAATGTATACAGATTCTCCCAAAATAGAAACATTTGCAATATAACTTTAGTATGCCGTTGCTATATTTTTAAAGTTTAGTCGGACTCCCTATTATCGCAGCATCCCTATTATCGCGGAATGGGAAATTTTTCTTTTTGTGTTGCCTAAACTCCTTCAAGTGGCGATTTTTATCCAGTTCACCAGGCATTAAGGACTTTCTGCCGAGTTGTATAAAAAGGATGATTAAAAAATGTTGTGTCTTTCTAGTTTTGTTTTGACTACTTTAGGTATCTTAATTATTTGTGAGTTGTTGCTTCACCACTGTAGCGAACCAGGTTGGCAGTGAAATGCAGTAATAATAGGTGAGCTACAGTGACGCTGTGTTTAATCAATTTAAATTTTTCGGCAGTCTTTTTTATTATTCTTTACTTCGTGTGAAACAAATATCAACCTCATTTATATTTCATAGGTAAAAATACTGTCCAAAGTATCTCAACAGTTTTTAGACAAAAGTCTGTTAATAATTATTTCTATTGGCAAAGTTATAGCCACAAAAAACATTTCATTTAGTGTTTACTTACATATGCACCCGTCACTGGAAACATTTAAGCATATAGTTCCCTCCAGCATTCGAAGTAGAATTCAATATTTTGTGTCGCTCCTGTACGGTGGGGTTCAACACTGCTATATTATTACTTTTTTATTACTTAGTATAGATATTGGCCTAGTTTGATGCTCCCGGGGATTTGTAAAATGTCCAACATAATATTTGCACATAGCCCCTCTCTAGCTCTATTGACGCTCCTTCGACTTTCATTACCTTGGTGAAGAGCCACTCAAACTGGTCAAGGGGAAAAACTGGAAAACTAGTGTTCACAGCTTATTTATTTCCCTTAAAGCCATTTCTCCCTGTGGAAACTTACTTGAGTTGCGTAAACAGCGCCGGCCTAGCCCTCCAGAAAAAAAGAAAACATGGGTTTAAAGAGTTTTTAAAAATTCGATTCATTCCCAGCTGCGGCTTCGTCTACTATAAAAATTTAAGAAGATTCTGAAATTTCCACACAGCTACCCAGAAAGCGTGAGTTGTCAAATAATAATAGACAAATAAATATTGTTGAGCTTCCGTTATGGAAGACGTATGCGTCTCGTTAAAAAAAAAGGATACAGTTCAATATATGAAGCTGAAGCAGTAGGGACCTGCGATGGAGGCCGATGTTTCGAAAGAGCTTGCATGCCAATCGAACGACACATGAGGGCAGCATTCAACAACATAAACACGCGACTGTAAATCTGGCGCTATCTTCCGAGTGGCCGAAACCTGTTGCCTGTGTCACTTTCTTGGTCAGTATCAGTAGATAATTTTATCTAACCATTTAATAAATGATAACATTAATTTAGTTGTTTATATTAGCTATTGGTGAAATCTGCATTATTTTATTTAGTGAAACTGAAACGTACTGCAAAAAGTGGCCATATCGGACATGATACTTTGAGTTTGATAGACGTACTGCGTTTATTATTTGTATTCAATAGCGTGGTATCTCATTCGTGAAAAGTTTGAGATGCTTAATTAACAATAACAATTAACATTAAAGGAAAGATTCCCATATCTGGCCATCACTTGCCACCCTGTGCACAAACCCTTTGAGACTGGTCTGAACATTTTTAAGTGTTTTCTCAGTTGAGTTAGCTGGAGTTACCCAGCACCTAGTCCGAGTAACTTGGACCCAACTTATCGCCTTTTTTAACATTTGGACATGGTCTGGCGATAGTAAGGTCCAAGCTAATACCGAGACCTAGACAACACAGTCCCAAAAACCAACATTTTCCAACAAAAAACATCAGAAATTTTCCGTTCAATTCTGAAGACCCCCTCTGCCTAGGTTGTCGTCGTTGTGCTCACGTTCAAAACTGCATGATAATGGCGTCTGACCTCGACCTCATGCAAATGTCGTGACGACACGGCAGATTCCCCTGCGCCGCGCCGACGACTGTTTCCTGATGTAGAGTGCTGTGTAAGTTCGTGGTACGCCTAGGAGTCGTGCTGGCTAGCCAGGCGCATGGCTGGCGCTCTACATCAGGAAACAGTCGTCGGCGCGGCGCAGGGGAATCTGCCGTGCATGCAGTGCATTATGCGCAAGCGCGCCGTCCCGACATTTGCATGAGGTCGAGGTCAGACGCCATTATCATGCAGTTTTGAACGTGAGCACAACAACGACAACCTAGGCAGAGGGGGTCTTCAGAATTGAACGGAAAATTTCACTTTTTTCCGGATCGTAAGTAAACTTAAGTACAACCATCTTAATCATCTATGTCTACTTGTACCTCAGGTGACATATCTAGTAATTTGGAGGCCGTTTTGAAGGCGAAATCTGATGTTTTTTGTTGGAAAATGTTGGTTTTTGGGACTGTGTTGTCTAGGTCTCGGTATTAGCTTGGACCTTACTATCGCCAAACCATGTCCAAATGTTAAAAAAGGCGATACGTTGGGTCCAAGTTACTCGGACTACCCAGCACCCAATTGGGTATCATTGGGTTGTCATCTAGATGACAACCCAATGATAAAATTTAGGGCTGGGTAACTCCAGCTACAGTTGAGTTAATACTTCGGCCATCGTGAAGTGCAGGGCCCGGTTCCTATAACTTGGGGAACAAAATCCACTTAAAAATTATTTGACCTACCATAATAGTTTGCAACATTCTCAATAAACAGGTTTGTCATAGATAGAGGGCAGGGTTTTGATTATTTGAGGGAAATTTGGGGTAAAATGACAATGACGGCGCGGCGACAACATGCGACCCGAAAATTAAGATGGCAATCACCGCGCGATGTTCCGTGAGCATGCAAGGCGCGCTGAATCCCAAGGTACAAACCGCGCAGGAAAACCGTGATTTCTACCCCAAGAATCTGTTAAAAATTGTAAAATGGGTGTTATTAGAATTAAGAAAAAGGCTGCTTTTGATTGTAAAGGTGAGTTTTGAGCAATAAAAAACATTTTCGATTCTAATTTGATCAAAACAAAACGGGGGCCCTACACTTCACGATTGCCGTAATTTTTCCCTTAAATGACCTATCAGCCATCAGAAAATGATATGTCCTAAAAAGTCAAAATTAGCAGGGACAAATTTTGACCCCTCCCCCTAGATATCCCACTGGTCATGGCTTTCAATAGTATACAACTGCTTTATGTGCAGTTTCTTTATATTTCCAGTGTGTTTTTGGTCCAACGTAATAACACCAAAATGGATGAGAAGCAGGGACCAACTTCTGATGATGTCCCAACTGGGGAGGTAACGTCAACCACAGTTACAGAGGGTGATGTTGTCAAGATGCCAACAGATGCGGCCATCACTATGGATGCCATTCCCAATGAAGATGAGGAGGACAAATCCAAAGGTGACTTGTTATTCTTTTACTTGGTGAAGACGTTTGCTCCTTTGCCAGGTCAGCTAAGTGTAATCCCATTCATGTGATTTTGTCCATTCTTGCTTATTGGAAACTTAATACTTTAACCCAGTGAAATTAATTTTGTTGCAAAATAGTTTTGTTGCTTTCCAGGTAAGTTTTTTAAATTGGGGATATGAGGGTTCAATTTCATAAAAAAAAATGCACCTTTACTTGGTACTTGGTGGTTATCCTGAATACTCCACGTGGAAGTCTAGCAAGGAGGCCTTGGGGAAGTGGAACTAAATTAAATCCTTAAAGGTGTTGTGGTTTGGGGCGTCTATGGTGTCTTGAGGGAGCTTGTTCCATTTCCGGATAGTTCTTGGTAGGAATAACTGCATATAGATGTCTGTCCTTGCTGCAATTTCTGTGAACTGGTGGTTGTGAATTCTACGAGCCGGTGCTGGTTTGGGGACTATGGATGATGAGTTAATGTGAACTATGTTGTGTATTATTTTAGTAGGTAAGTTGGTTAACTTTCCTTCTCTCTTCCAGTGAAGACCAGCCTAGGGTTGTCAACATGTCGGTCACACTGCTCAGTCTGGAATAATCTCGCATTACGAAACGAGCAGCCCTCATCAGTTGCACTTTTTCCAGGGATGTTATGTTCTTAGCTATGTGAGGGTTCCAAGCAATGCTGCCATATTCTAGGTGTGGTCTGACTACTGCTAAGTACAGCTTTTATTTGACTGATCTGGATGCAGAATGAAAATTTAGTTTGATGAAGCTCAATATACGACTTGCTTTGGAAGTGGCATATGCTGTTTGGTGATTCCAACTTAGGTTATTCTGAATGATTATTCCCAAATATGTGATGTTGGTTTTCTCTACGAGTACGAGGTTGGATCCTAACATGGTGTAGTTAGTTTTGCTGGGGGCCCGCTTCCCGGAGATTCGCATGATGTTACATTTGCTGGAGTTAAATTTCATTCCCCAGGTTTGCGCCCAGTGAGCCAAGTTGTTCAGGTCTTTTTGGAACATCAGTTCATCAGTTGATGAGCAGATCTTCCAATATAACAGGCAGTCGTCAGCGAAAAGGCGAGTTGTGCCAGTCACTGATTTGCTAATGTCATCGATGAAAAGTAAAAACCGATGGGGGCCAAGCACGGTGCCTTGTGGTACGCCACTGTCGACACTTTGCCATTTCAAAGATTTTCCATTTACCACAACTCATTGTGACCTGTTGGTTAAGAATTCCCTGATCCATCTCTGTGTTTTTCCCCTTATCCCGTAGTAGTCTAATGTTTGGACCAGTTTTTGATGAGAAACTATGTCGAATGCTTTGGAGAAGTCAAGTACTGCCATGTCTGTGGTGATTTGATTATTGTAATTGTAGGAGATGTCATCCAGAGTTGTTACGAGTTGGGATTTGCAGGACAGGCCTTTACGAAAAGCATGTTGGTTTTCGTTCAGGATGTCGTGTTCCTGGAGGTGTTTCATTTATTGGCTATCAATGATGTGCTCTAATAACTTAAAGCAAACAGAGGTCAACGACACAGGTCTGTAGTTTGCCGGGTCTGCACGAGAGCCTTTCTTAAAAATGGGTGTTACGTTGGCTTTCTTCTAGTCAGATGGTAGAGAACCCAGCAGGTCAAGTGATTGTTGGAATATGAATGCGAGTACTGGGCAACTTCATTGGCAGCTAGTTTCAAGTTGAGCGACGTCAGTAACTAGAGGACTCCGCTAACAGACACGGTGATGTTTGTCAAGTCTGGGTAGGGACTCGGTGGTAGAACTGGCTGCACATCGGTGTCATCCCTGGTGAAAACACTACAGAATTGGTCTTGTAGGGTTTCAGCTTTTTCTTGGTCAGATGTGATATTTTTCCTGTTGAGTTTTAGAACCTGAACCCCTGTGTTGTCTTAACGAGTGCTGTTTACGTAGCGCCAACATTTCTGGGGTTAGCTGTAGATGTAGTTTCTTGTAAATGTGTGCGTTTAGCCCTTCGGATTTCGCTGTTCACTTGCTTTTGGGTCATTCCACCGGGTTGGGAAGCAGTGCATGTTACATCCATATATTTGGTTATATTATTAAAAGTATCAATGCATTCTAAACAATTGCTCAATTTGATATTTGTCTTAAGGTGTTTCAATACTTGAGAAAGTTTTAAATCATTTGAAAGTACTTTGACAAAAATATAAGCAAAAATGTCATATTTGGACGTAACATTGACACCGTGTCAATGTTACATCCAAATATTCTTTGTTTCCCATTTTTTACACGTATGTAAAATATTACCCAAACTGACATTGCATATTTACAACTGGACACCTAAGCACCAAGAAAAGCTTTTGTTTTGGTATAGTCAGGGTTCAAATATAGCAGAAACAATACCTCTAGTGTGGATGTAACGGTGTAAAAATCACGCAATGGAAGTGTGACATTGGGTTTTACACCGTGTCAATGTTACATCCACACAACCAAGCTATCATTTCTGCTCCATTTGATACCTGACTACCGTAACAAAAAATTTTTTATTGTGTTGCATGTATAGTAAGAAGTTAGCAAAGTGAATTTGTGTGATGTTTCGCAGAAATTTTAAAAAAAGGTACAAATGTCATATTTGGACGTAACACTTACACGGTGTCAATGTTACATCCAAAATGACATTTTTTTGCTCATATTTTTGGCCAAATACATTGAAATGATTTCAAACTTTCTGCAGTCGTGAAACACCCAACAACAAATATTATGTAGAGCCACTGCTAGCAAGGCATTTATGCTTTTGTTAATATGGTCATATGTCACACATTGTTCCCCAACCCGGTGGAATGAGCCTTTTGCAAAAGTTTGAATGTAGACCGCTTGTTACTGCCTTCACATAGCTGCGCTCTTTCTTCCTGCAGCAACAGATTAGGACAGTAGTGAGCCATGAGGGTCTAGAATGTCCATGGACTGGTTTTTGTGGTACTAATTCGTTAGTTTTCAGCCTGTCCCTAAAAATACTCCAATTTGCCTCAACTGTTCTGGTTTCTGGAGATGACTGCATGAATTCGGTCTTAAGCTCGAGGACAGATTTTTTTCAGCTTGGATTCATCCACATCATTCCACTTAAAGATGGTCCTAGGGTGCTTGACAGAGCGAGGTGCAGTGATGTTTATGTCAGCTAGCACTGTTGCGTGATCGCTAATTCTGGAGATGCTGTAAACATTACAAACCAGAGTTTTACGTGTGGTGAAGAGCAAATCTAAGATGTTATCGGTTCCTGTAACTGGGTCTCTCCTTGTAGTAAAATTTGCCTTTTGTTCGAGATTGTAGTCATCTGCGATGTGGTTAATTTTGGATTGAATACCATTTGCCGAGAAAGTACATGTACAAGTTCTTGAGTTCCAAAGCATGCCCGGGATGTTGAAGTCTCCTCCAAGAATGATGAATGGGGAGTTTACCTGAGCCTGCAATTTACTCAGACTTCTGTCTAGGTTTTCTAGAGATTCTGGCCTGTAGGAATCGGGGGCTCTATAATAGCAGAGATGAAGATGTCCTCTCCTTTCGGCTTGAGCGGTAGTTGGCACCAGAGTAATTCACAACCATCTTCAGAAAGTTCAATGGCTGAGAAACCATCCTTAACCAAGATAAAGACACCTCCGCCACGTCTGTCGTTTCCTCTGTCCTTGAACCTTCGTTCAACTGTCAAACTTGTGAATTTCTGATGAATGAATGCAAAGTTTACAAAGCCATTCATATCTTAAAACATTCATTCTTTTATAAAGCCCTGTACGCACTGGACTTTTTTGGTCAAACTTACCGAGACTATGGGTACTTTTCCCATTTTAAGTCCAATGCGGACAGCCTAGGACGTTTTCCTCTCGGTTACTTTTCCTGAGTCCAGCGGTTACTTTTACTGGCCAACTGCTGCCCAGGAAAACTGACCATGCGCCCAGGAAAATTGACCAGGTCACTTTTCCTGAGACGATAAGTCCAGTGCGGACAGTGCGAGTCGGTAAAAGCGGCTCAGGAAAGTGACATTAGGCCCGAGTGCGAGTATCATGCATACAGAAACAGCACGATCCCACACGTGATGTGGCCGAACTTTTTGTGGAAACACGTACGCTGCGGTGTGTCAAGTCCGAGCGGTAAAATCTCGTTATAAATATATTTTAACGGAGAATACATTCACAGAAAATATCAAGATCACGTTCTGGGAAATACTTTGCAGTTATTCTTTTTTTCCACCAATGTTTGTTTTGTACATTGTATTTTCTACGATCCAAATTCGTCCTGTTACGCCGTGTAGTCTGCATGGCACCGTACATGTACGTAGGCCGCAGTCCCTGGTTCCGGTCCTACATCATAGCTTTGATTCTGTTAGCATGCGGTGGGAACCAGCGATTACCGATGGAACTGCTGCCGCATGGCTTCGATGTCGTCCATCACAAATGCGTCAGAATAGTAGGCATTTTGGTCAAGATTTATCGTGTCAAGATGAAATAACATCGTATGTTACGATTATATTGTGCATTTTAATGGTGTGTGTAATATTATACTGTGCGTATCGGGGGCTGAAAAAAATGTGATCGGCATTTTATTTCCTGTGCACGTGACTGTGACAGCTCGGTCACTTCTCCCACGCGGTCTGGGTAAAATTTCCCGTGTCGAAAGTCCAAGTGCGGACAGTGGTCACATTTGACCATTTCTCATTTTACCATCGTCTCGGTAAAACCTTCCAAAAAAAAGTCCAGTGCGGACACGGCTTAAGATGGAATTTTGCGTCGGGGTGATGTAAATCAAATTGGGTTTTGCCCTTCACCGACTATCCATCTTATGAATAGTTAATGCAGTATCCGCTGCTATGTACATCAGATTTGAACCAACCAGCTCGGTGGTCCAGTGGTAAGATGTCTGCACTAGAAAGCAGGAGGTTGTGGGTTTGAGTCCCACCCGAGTGATTTTTTTCCAACTTTCACTCGGGAGGTACCACACTGAGTATACAGTGTTTATACGTTGGTGCAGGGCGAAACCTAATTTGATTCATTCTTTTGTTGATTAATACAAAGCCCATTAAAAAAGGCAAATAAAAATATCAAAATATTATGAGGCATCAATAAAGTATCAAGTATCAGAAAAGCATACTAGTTCAAATACCAGAATGGTGATAGTACATAGCATTATTTGTGCTTGGCAGTTTTGAATTACGCACACAAAAACAGCAGCTTGTAGAAATTGGTCATTTTTGGGAACCGTCCAAATTAAGATATTTATATATAGGTTTATCTCTAACTTTACAAAGAGATTCATATTTTAAAGCATTAATTTTTTTTCAGGTACTGTGTACAATTGTTGTACATCTATATTAACAGTATTCAACTTTGGGATGTTTCTTATTCAAAATTTGCAATTCATTAATCTGTTTGTCAGTGTGAACTGATTTTGTTGTGCAGTGTCTCACTTGAAAACTCATAATTAAACTTACAAATATCTCATGCTTAAAAAAAATCAAAGTAAATTTATTTTCTCTGATTGGAGTTGGTTTTTTAATTTGTTTGTTTTTGTCCATCAGGTCTTGACCCACAAGATAACCATTCCACCAGCACCTCTGACGTACCGGTGACTGGCGCTGCCATAACGGATCCTTATCACTATCGGACACAACAGCACTTCACCTCAGAGATCTTCAAGATTGAGATCCAAAACCTCCCAAGACATTTTGGATTTGTGGTGAGTTTGCTCTCTAAGCATTCAACTCTCGATAATGATAATACAGTTTGTGCTCTATTAAGAGTTCATAATGTTTTCCATGGTGAAGATTTCTCAGGGTCTTTATGTAATTTTGTATAACAGAATTTAAAGGCAATTGGATGAATTTCACTAAAACCTGGAAATATCCTAGCCTCATGTCTATATAAAAGTAATGGTAAACTGCATGTAGAAAGTTTTGATGGTGGGTGATATTGGTTGGTCGTGAGTGAGAGCTCCCTCTTGCGGGGGTTATCACTGCGGGGGTTGTCGCGTATCAAACCATAATAACGTCTAGCCCCTAGACTAGGTATGTGGGGCTGTCTGATGAGATAGGCATTGGTGTCTGTGGTTATCACTTATTGCACCGTTGGTAAAAACCTAGCTTATTCTATGGCCACACACTGGAGTAATCTCTGTGCTAAGGGCCATACAAATGTGAGCACAGCAAGTTGGTAAAATGATGCATTTTTTTCATGGAAATATTTTGGCCTGATATTTGGCATAGGGGTTCTTTTTACCCAAGCGTCCCACTTTGTGCCGAAACCTCATATGGTTCAATACTTTGAGGTGTGCACTGGAACGTAAATTGTCAAACAATTGGCCATGCACAACGGCCAATTCAAGATCAACACACAGTCTGGCCTGTATGACTTCACAGACTTTTGTGTGTGTGCAAAAGCAGAATGTTACCCGGAGGTGAGTGGAGGCAATTTTGACCTTTTAACCCTAGAAAATCCATCAGCCGTGCCTGTGCATAAAAACAGCCAGTGCGTCTTATCACGTCCTCTGATGCAAACTGGTTAAGATGTTACTTTTTATTGTCAAAAGAAGTCAATTTGGTATCTTTATTTTTTGTTGGTATTCAGGAAGACATCAGTTCCCAGCTCAACAGCTCCACCAGTGATCTTCATGACCTCACCAGACAGTTTGTTTGTGGTCTGTTTCAAGTCGATCATTAGGCTCTGTGAATGACTGCTGAATCTACGAGGTATGTAAATGAAATCTGAGGTGGGATATTAGAGGTGAAAATGAACAATTTTTGAGAGGCCATTTTTTTAGGGTCTCTTGCTACCACACTCCAGCGTCACATGTGAATGAATATTATGAGCATGTCAGCTGGAGTTACTCAAGCTAAGTTCTAGGTTCTGTAACTTAGCTTGAGTAACTTCAGCTCTAATGCTTTCGCATTAGAGCTGGAGTTGAATGTCAGGCAAGTCGACCGTTGAGACAACTCGACTCGGGACAAGTCGACCGTTGAGACAACTCGACCCTTGAGACAAGTCGCCTGGTTTGACAACTCGACTCGGGACAACTCGACCGTTGAGAATGCTCGACTCAATGGAAATGTATACACATGGAGCGGAAAAAGTTGCATAAATCTGTGGCAGGACCCAGGCACTGCACGGGCATACTCGATGCACAGAGGGCGCTCCGATCCGGTGGCCCGCGAGGACCGGGCCCGGCCCGGCACGTGGGCACGTCAACCGGCGCGGCAAGTGGACTTACAGGCCCGGCAAAAACAATGCCACCATGCACGGCACGGCCACGTTGACCGGGGATAAGTGCACGCACAGGCCCGGCAAAAACGATGTCACCGTGCACGGTACAGCCACGTTGACCGGGGATGTGCGCGGCCCAGAAAAACAGACGATGTGCACAGACAATCACGCTGCGCTGTATCAGCTCTTTTTTATTTGACATGCAACAAAAAAAATCATGTGTCATAACTCCCAAACGGCGATCAGCCGCCGTCAAAATCCCCGGTACTATCCCCAAAACTAGGCCCCAAAACAAGTGAGTCGAGTTGTCTCAACGGTCGACTTGTCTGACCCCCCTGGAGTCACAACTACGTTAAAAGTACCGGGTCGTAAGAGTCCCGAAATCCCGGACTCTGTATCCCCAGTGCATTACAAAAACGGTCCATTGTCCCTATATTATCCCGACCCAGATTCCATAATTCATACCTCATACGATGCAACAGGCATTCAGGAAGCTAGTAATCGACTTCAAACAGAACAATGAAGACTAAAATATGAAATTTTTCGACAATTTTGGTGGCGATTCTCGAGAAACCATGAGAAAACGTTGCTCGACACTATTCTGCCGACTGCCGTTGACCCTCCAAATGATTGGCAAATAAAAACATCAGATTTACCTCAAAACAGCCTCCAAATTACTAGATACGCCGCCTGAGGTACAAGGAGAGATCGATGATTAAAATAGAGGTGCTAAAGTTTGCTTACGAGTCGGATGAAAAGTGAAATTTCCCATTCAATTCCGAGAGCTCCCCTCGCAATCTATCGTTAAATTTCCGACTCTTGTTTGAACAACGCGATGTAACTGTACATGCCCAGCATTCATTCAGTGGTCCCAGCGCGATTCCGTTAGCGAGCGCGATGCATCGATTATGATAATGGCAGACTGGATCTCGTTTGTACAGACAAGTGCATTCGAACTGAGATACGGAGTCGGGAACTAGAGCAGCTATCAGCGGAAACCAGTTCAAGCTAGTTCCCGACTCCATATCATCGTTCGAAATGCACTTGTACAAACGAGATCCAGTCTACTCATTATCATAATCGATGCATTGCGCTCGTTACCGGAATCGCGCTGAGACCACTGAATGAATGCTGGGACGTACGGTTACATTGCGTCGTTCAAACAAGAGTCGGAAATTTAACGATCGATCGCGAGGGGAGCTCTCAGAATTGAATGGGAAATGTCACTTTTCATCCGACTCGTAAGCAAACTTCAGCACCTCGATTTTAATCATCGATCTCTCCTTGTACCTCAGGTGGCGTATCTAGTAATTTGGAGGCTGTTTTGAGGTAAATCTGATGTTTTTATTTGCCAATGTTGTGTTATTTTTTGGTCAACGCCAGTCGGCAGAATAGTGTCACTCAACGTTTTCTCATGCTTTCTCGAGAATCGCCACCAAAATCGTCGAAAAATTTCATATTTTAGTCTTCATTGTTCTGTTTGAAGTCGATTACTAGCTTCGTGAATGTCTGTTGCATCGTATGAGGTATGAATTATGGAATCTGGGTCGGGATAATATCTAGGGAAAATGGACCGTTTTTGTAATGTACTGGGGATACAGAGTCCGGGATTTCGGGACTCTTACGACCCGGTGCTTTTAACGTAGTTGTGACTCCAGATCTAATGCAATAGGCATTAGAGCTGGAGTTACTCAAGCTACAGGTAACTAGTGGACAAGGCCTACCTCCGTATTAACCGTCACAAATCCGCAAGCTTATTGATTGGGTTTTTATATCCTAGAGTTTAAAAGTGCTACAGACAAAACTTCATTCGAAAATTGGTCCTGCCATTTGGGTTTCGGTTTTTTTTACTCACCCAATATTTTGTAATTCTTTGCCCAGATCTGTTGGAAAAGGAAGACCTGGGGACGCGCATCGGCAAATTATCAAGTCACATTGATGAGATCAAGGGTGAAATCTACCACGCCGTACACAAGAAGTATGCCAACTACAGACCCACCAGGGACTCCACCCAGGAGCTACACAACAAGATGCAGACACTGTCCACTGAGATGCAGACTCTCAGCAATAAGATCAAGGTATGTCATAGTCTTAAGGCCCTAGTAACACATTCATGGTTGGACCTACGAATATCCACCGTTTACCAAGAATCAATTGATCACAATGAACCGTCAAGACTCGTGGAGAAATTGACTTTCTAAGAATGCACTAGGGTTTCAGGACGGATAGCCACAACTTTCGGAGGTTTCTCTAGGAATACATCACAGTTTCTTCACGGATTGTTTACGAATATTGACAGTATGACCAAGAATAATTATGTTAATGCCACAGTTGTCTGCGATTGGGCCACGGATGACCAAGGTTCTCCTACAAATAAAGCATAGTCATATTCGTAGTACAACCTTAGCAGAATTCTAGCATATCTGGGCATAACCGTAGGACATTTGTAGTGAATTCGTAGAGATTTCCACCACGAATGAGCTACAAATCTCCAAGAATATTTATGAAAAGCTACAAATAACACTACGAATTAGTTCGGTTGTTCTATGGATGTCCCAGGGTTCTACTGCGCATTGATTTTCATGACGATTCACCACGGAAGTTTGGAACAGTTAAGAACTTCGTAGCCCCTCCATGAATACCAAAGGAAGTTGACGGATAACCACGCAGATATTTAAGATGAATGGTTATCATATGTAGTATGTGTGGGACTGAAAGTGAACAGTAAATTGCCTGCAGAAGTCACGTTTGTGCACTAGTTTCCCCCATTTTGTTTGTTTTTTCTTGGGGGGGGGGTATTAGGAGTTGGCCTAGACGTTTTGATGGTGGGTGATATTGGTTGGTCGTGAGTGAGAGCTCCCTCTTGCGGGGGTTATCGCTGCGGGGGTTATCGCGTATCAAACCATAATAACGTCTAGCCCCTAGACTAGGCATGTGGGACTGTCTGATGAGATAGGCATTGGTGTCTGTGGTTATCACTTATTGCACCATTGGTAAAAACCTAGCCTATTCTATGGCCATACACTGGAGTAATCTCTGTGCTAAGGGCATACAAATGTGAGCACAGCAAGTTGGTAAAATGATGCATATTTTTTCATGGAAATATTTTGGCCTGATATTTGGCATAGGGGTTCTTTTACCCAAGCGTCCCACTTTGTGCCGAAACCTCATATGTTTCAATACTTTGAGGTGTGCACTGGAACGTAAATTGTCAAACAATTGGCCATGCACAACGGCCAATTCAAGATCAACACACAGTCTGGCCTGTATGACTTCACAGACTTTTGTGTGTGTGCAAAAGCAGAATGTTACCCGGAGGTGAGTGGAGGCAATTTTGACCTTTTAACCCTAGAAAATCCATCAGCCGT